TGGTACCAGGGATCAAACTCAGAACCTTGCACCAGGGAGGCACAGCGCCACTGTGCTATATCCCCAGCCTGCATATTTCTTCTTTATTGCTTTTTTTTTTCTTTAGATTCAGTCAATCCATCCTCCATCCAACCCTTTCAATAATTCATGCTCGTCACACACGTAACTGGTGCTTCCTAGCCCATCATCTTCCCTAACTGCCCTCCAGATTCCTCTCAGATGGGCTCTTCCGTGCCTTCCCTCTTGCCTTCTACATACACACTTGGACGTCACAGAAGGCATCTTTTTCGGGGATTGTGGAAACTGGTAACTGGAAAGCTTCCCTACAAAACACTGAAAGGGCTGAGATATAGCTCAGGCCCAGTGTTTGCCTGGAACGCTTGAGGCCCTGGGTTCAACAACAGCACTGCAATAACTAACCAACCCAATGAATGCAAAGCCAGGACAGTAATAAAATAGGTGTAATAAACGGCTCAATGATCACAGCTTCCTCTCCGCACAGTGTGCGCCACCTTTGCAACGTAACTTTGCTTCTGCTCCTCTCAAGCGAGTACGTCCCCTTCGAAACCCCCCGACTGCCTTTGCATTCTGCCAGCCAGTGGGGTGTGGCGCTGTGTGATTTCATTCTGATGCTAACTCCAAGGAATTAGGGTTAGAATCCAGTGGGCACGATTTCCAAAACTGACCACACTGCAGGTGCCAGCCGGAGGTGGAATTCGGGAATCTATACTTCTGCCCGAGCAGCTGCACACCTGGGGAGTTTCCAGGATGATCTCCAGGTCCAGTAACTCATGGGCTGACTCAGAACTCAGCAAAGTGCTGCACTTAGAGTAGAAGTGTTATTATGAGGGAGACTAACCAGGACTGGCCAGACAAGACACGGTAGGGTGCGGGGCAGGGAGGGCGCTGAGAGGACGGCGGCGTCCATGCCCTCTCGCTGTGGCGTCAGGGAGTGCCACTCACCGCAGCATCACCGGTGCTTACCGACCCGGGATGTGTTACTTAGTTGCTGGGTCCAGAGATCCCAAAGGGCCTCAGCGCGCAGGCCGGGGCAGAGCGGGACTGAACTCTGTCTCCAGCTGCCTCTGCTTTGCTAGAGATCCGCTTGGCTCCTCTGCAAACCCTCTAAACACAGGGTGGATCTTCCTAGCACACAGCCCCTCTCATCTTTTAGCACAAACGCAGTTGGTATCCAAGGTCCTCGTGAATAACAAATATATTCCTATTATGGAGGAGAGTCCAAGGATTTAGATTTTCTATCCGGGAATCCAGGGACAAAGGCTAGTCACTTTCTAGATTATACAGCACCTCTTAATCAACAGAATGCTGTGAATATAATTTCTGAAACTAGGCATTAGGAAAAATTTGTGTTTTTGGAACAAGAAGCACAATATATAGAAGAGAAAAATTATAAAGTTGAACTTAAAATTTAAAATAATTGCTCTTTAAAAGCAAGCCACATATGGAGAGGAAGTATTTGCACAGCATATATCTGAGAAGGAACTTGCATCTGAAATACATTTTTAAAAACTCTAACAGCAAAAGGGAAATAAACAGTATGATATAAATATGGATAACAGATTTAAACTGGCAGTTCACAAAAGAAGATAGATGAATAGTCAACACAGACATGGAAATATACTGATATTATTAGTCATTAGCAAAGAGCAAGTTAAAATCATATGAGAGGGGCCAGGGACACAGCTCAATGGTACAGTGCCTGCCTGGCAAGTGTGAGGTCCTGAGCTCAATTCCCAGTACTAAAAAAACAAAAAACACGAAACACAATGAGATACCACTATGCTAGAATATCTAAAATTTAAGAGTGACAGATAAGTGGACGGGTGGGTGTGGTGGCCACACCTGTATTCCCAGCACTCAGACTGAAGCAGGTTTGCTGTAAATTCCAGGACCTCCTGGGCTACATCTGGAGTTCAAGGCCAGCCTGAACTATGTAGCAAGACCCTGTCTCAAAACAAAAAGCCAGGGCTGGGACTTAGCTCAGTGGTTCTGCCACCTGCCTCACAAGTTCAAGGACCCGAATTCAATCCCTGGTACTAAATAAATAAATAAAAATAAAAGCCAACTCATTGAATTGAATACTTTAACTTAATGAAATTACTATGTGTGAAAGTATACCTCAATAATGCTGGAGGAGGAAAAGGGGGGTTATGATATAGTACATTCCTGGCAAAAACAAAATCTACTCTGAAGGAACATACTCTTAATTCAGGCCTCACAGAATTTCCAGAAGACAAAGCCAGTGATAGAGTGATTGCCCGGCACGCATGAGGCCCTGGGTTTGATCCTGAGCACTGAACAAAAATTAGAATAGCTCTTCCCTTTCCTCCAACTCCTCTCCACCTTCTATCTCCCTCCATTCCTAGAAATAAAAAATTAAAATACAGAGAGAAACTATTAGCTTTCGTCAAAAGATAAATAGTAATCCATAAAACGAATCTCACCTTGCTCTAAGGATGGTAGATAGCTACACTATTGAGTTAGAGACTATGAAATAAACACATTTTAAAATAATAAAGACAATTAATAAGGAATCAGAAGCATTCAAACAAGACTGTCAAAATAGAATAGAATGGCCGGGTATTTAGCTCAGCGGTTCGGTGGCCTGGCTTGCAAGTGCAAGGTCCTGAGTTCGATCCCCGGTACCAAAACAAAACAAAACAAAACCCAAAAAACAGAATAGACAGCTCTGAAACCGGTTATATACCTCTACACAGGCACACACACACACACACACACACACACACAGAAACAAAATTGTCAAGTAGAACTTTTCCTCCTTTTTCCCTCCCTCTCTCCTTCCTTCCCTCCCTCCTTTTCTTCCTTTTCTCTTCCTTCCTCTTTTTCCATTTCAGTATTAGGGATTGAACCTAGGGAGTATGGAGCTACATCTTCACCCTCATTTGTTTTTATTTATTGATTGATTTACTCATTTGTTTGACCTCACTATGTTGCCCACGCAGGGCTTGAACATGCTGCAATCCTCTTGCCTCAGAGCCAGAATTACAGGTGTAGACCACTATACCTGGTTTGCAAGTAGAACTTCTAGAAAAGACAAAAATAGCCATTGAAATTTTAAGAATTCTGGCCAAGTTTAATGACTGACTAAAGCAGTTAAAGAGTGAATTAAAGAATTGGAAAACTGATCTAGGAAAATACATAGAAGATTCATAGAAAGCTAAAGAAATGAAACATGTAAAAAGTTCAGAGACATGGAAAACAGATGAGAGGTCTAAAATATTTCCAAAAGTGACTCAGAAGTAGAGAATACAGTGAAATGGAATATCCACAGAAACAATGACTCAGAATTTCCTAAAATCAATGGATGACAATGAGCAAAA